AGTGGCAAAAAACCTACAACAACGGCAGCTCGAACAGCAAAATAAACAAGAGAGATTACAGCAGTTGTTGGAGGAAAAAAAAGAAACAAGAAGAACGAGAAAAGAAACAAGAAGAGAGATTACAGCAGTTGTTGGAGGAGAAATAAAATAAACAAGAAGAGAAATTACAGCAGTTGTTAGAGTAGAAAGAAAATAAACAAGAAGAACGAGAAAAGAAACAAGAAGAGAGACTACAGCAGTGGCAACTGGAACAAGAAAGGAAGCAAGAAGTACAAATGGAAAACATTAGTAAATTTAAAAGCGAATTAGATACGTTAAAGGACGATCTATTGTCTTTTACACAAGGAGGATACATTAACCATCGACTTAATCAGTCCCAGACAATGGCAAGCCCCTTCCAGACCCCACAGCTAAACCCTAATGCAGACATCTTCAGTCCTGTTAGAAGTCACATCCCAGATATGAGTGTCAGTAATAGGAGTGATCCAGTACGAAGGAAACCACAGGAATTCGATGGGAAGACACCGTGGGAAGCATATAGAGCACAATTTGAGCTCCTGGCAGAAATGATTGGGTGGACAGAGGAGCAGAAAGCAGTATATCTGGCAACGAGCTTGAAATGACAACCACTAGAAATACTTGGACAGTTGTCAGCAGACGACAGACACAACTATAGAGCACTGCTAGAGGCTCTAGAACTCAGGTACGAACCCAAAATCAGTCTGAAGTCTACAGGGCTAGGTTTAGGACGAGAGTACGTGCTAAAGGGGAGAGCCTGCAAGAGCTGGCACAGGACTTGGAAAGCATGGCACACAAGGCCTACCCAACTGCACCACCCGATCTCCTCAAGTTGTTGCTGAGGGATCCAATCGTAGATGACTTGGACAGTCCACAACTTAAGATACAAGTGAAGCAAGCACACCCCTCTACCATGCAGGATGCAATGGCCAGAGCTCTAGAATTTGAATCCTACGTTAAGTCCAGCACAGAGGTACCGAGGTTAGTACAGTCATCTGGATTCAAGGCCAGAAAAGGTCAGCTTTCAGAGAGGTTTGAGGGACTTTGCTGGCACTGTAATAAACCTGGGTACAAGAGAGCTCAATGCTGGAAGCTTCAACACAGGGGAGGTGCAACAGCAGGAAAGGCTGGTATCCAGAAAGGTTGTTGGAACTGTGGAAAGCACGGACATTTGAGGAGCCAGTGTAGGAAGAATATTACCAACAAGTCGG